GAACTAAATTGGACTTAACATGAATCAAATTGGACTTAATATGAAATTATACTTAAAACAAGTTGAATTAGACATAACGTGATTCATGTAAAGTCTAATTCAACTTGTTTTTAGACTTGAAACAAGTTGAATTAGGCATAACATTATTTAAATTAGATTTAAAAGAAATTAAATTAGACTTAACATGAACTAAATTAGATTTAACATGAAATTAGACTTAAAACAAGTTGATAGACTTAACATGATTTAAATTAGACTTAATATAAACCGAATTAGACTTAACATGAACCGAATTAGACTTAACATGAATCATATTAGAATTAACATGATTTAAATTAGACTTAACATGAACCGAATTAGACTTAACATAAAGCAAATTGGACTTAACAAACTGGACCTAACATGAACCAAATTGGACTTAAAATATAATCCATGTTAAGTTTATTTCATTTTATTTTAAGTCTAATTTCGTGTTAAGTCCAATTTAAATTAGACTTAAAATAATTTAAATTAGACTTAAAATGATTTAAACAAGACTTAACATGAACCCAAACTAGACTTAACACAAACCAAACTGGATTTAACACCAATCAAACTGGACTTAACATGAACCAAACTGGACCTAACATGAACTAAACTAGACTTAACACTAAGCTGTATTAAAATTAGACTTAAAGAAGTTAAATTAGATTTAACATGAATCGAATTGGCCTTAACATGAAGTAAAATTTGACTTAACATGAAATTAGACTTAAAATAAGTTAAAATAGACTTAACATGATTCATGTTGAGTCTAATTCAGCTTGTTTTTAGACTTAAAATAAGTTGAATTAGACATAACATAATTTAAATTAGACTTAAAAAGAATAAAATTAGACTTAACATGAATCAAACTTGACTTAACATAAAATCAGACTTAAAACATGTTAAATTAGACTTAAAACTTGTTAAATTAGACTTAAAACATGTTAAATTAGACTTAACATGATTCATGTTAACTCTAATTCAACTTGTTTTTAGATTAAAATAAGTTAAATTAAACTTAATATGATTTAAATTAGACTTAAAGAGAATTAAATCAGACTTAACATGAATCAAACTGGATCTAACATGATAAATCTGGAGAGAACGAAGAGGGAGGAGGAAATGAGGGTATTTTGGGCTTTTATGTTTGTTTTTCTCTCTTTATACTTAGTTGGCATGATAATTACATAAAAAAGCTGCATCACATGATGTGACATTTCTTAGGACTGAACCACACGGGAAAAAGAAGAAAACGTTGCAACACATGAAAGTTTTACTTTTTGGGACATTGACACAATTTTCCTAAGAAAAAAAGAAGAAAAAAAAGTAGGCCGGGTGTCACTGCTAAAAAATAAGGTATCCTAGACGGAAAATTCCGTCTAGGATACTCAAAATTCCGTCTAGAATGGGTATTCTAGACGGAATTCCGTCTAGAATACCCGTCTAGAAAGTTTCCGTCTAGAATACATTATTCTAGACGGAAATTCCGTCTAGAATACATTCTAGACGGAATATTCTAGACGGATTTTAAAACCGTCTAGAATACATCCTAGACGGATTATTCTAGACGGAAATTTCCGTCTAGAATAATTTATCCTAGACGGAAAAGATTTCCGTCTAGAATAATTATTCTAGACGAAAATTTCCGTCTAGAATGATTATTTTAGACGAAAATTGGTTTTTTTATTTTTTTTAATTTTAAAAAAGGTATCCTAGACGGAATTTGAGCATCCTAGACGGAATTTCCGTCTAGGATACTTGCTACAGTGACTTTTTTTTTTGCAGAATCTACTTTGGATGTATGTACACAATATTGAACAACAAAAAGTTATATTCATATCCAACATAATCTAATTATATTCCAATATCAAATCCAATTATATTCAAATAATACATTCATCAAAATAGTAGAGAGATACATAGATTGTTTACAAACTTTTACATAAATTATTTACAATGGCTATGACACTGCAGAAGCTTCTTCAACTCCTTCCCTATACATTTACTTAAGCCCTCTTCTTCACCTTCTTCCTCATCATCCTGAGTGTCACAAGTCTGCCTATACAAAATGGTAAAATAATATGTACATATGGAATCGGGAAAATATAGCTAAAACAACACCAACAAAACTTAGGGAAATAATGTAAGTATAAGAAAGAAAATAAACCTTAGAGAAAAATTTTGGGACCACAGAAAGATTGTTTGCTGGAGGTGAGGTGCTTATTGCATTTTGTCTCAATATGTGGTTTTCATCCTGTAATGTAGACATCTTATCCTCCATGCTGAGACAATAGAGCAATGAATATAAGTATGAATTAGTCCAAAGGTAAGATATCATATTAGATACAAGAATGGCACATCCTGTAATATACAGTTTTCAACATACATGTATCTTAACTTCAAGAAAATGTAAGATAATAATATGAAACCTGTCGACGCTCGTTTGTCATTGAATTTAATTCCGAACCATCTATATAAGCTATGGATAAATACCCGTATTGCATAGACACCAATATAAGCCATGGATAAGTACAAAAACTAAGGGGGAAAGGGGGATATAGAGCACCAGACATGATATAGCTAGCGTGTGGAGGTGAATTCCAAGTCAAAGAATAAAATGTGATTTCTTTTTATGTGCAAGTATGCGCGTGTGCGTAATCCAAGCCAAAGAATACAGATAAAATGGTGTGTGAGCATATGTGGAGGTGAATTCCAAGTCAAAGACTACAGATAAATTTTACAGGCATATATAGCTAGCGTAAAGTAGAAAAGAAAGAAAAGTACATCTTTTTCACTTTGGATTGAGAATATATCAACATTCATTGGGTATTTGTAGAAAAGACAGAATACCTAGAGGGATCACCTGTCCAAAATCCTTATTTCGGAGTCTCACTCATCAACAGACCACACATTGGTCCGTCAACATACATCTGTAAACAGAACATTCAAAAGGTTAGACTTCAATCAACTACTCTTATATATTATTGTACACGAAACAATAATTAGTTGAAAGAAGGCATTCACTGCACCCGTTTTTTTCACAAGAGAATTTCCCATTATTCATAGAGCTGATTCACAAACAAAGCTTTTGTCACCGTATAAAAAGCATCTTTCGTGTGCTTTGCAGTGTACATATTCCAGAAATTTTGTGGCTATTGCTAATCATATAAAAGAATACAAGACAATATAGGACATTGACATACATTAAATATTCAATATAAACACCTAGGTGATATGATCCATAACTTTGAACTGCAATGTCTTTAACATATAACGTTGCAAATTTGGCCAAAGGAAACGCATAAATGAAAACATGTACCACACCTTCAGATTAAAGTTCTCCTTCCTTACTGCAGCCATTTCCTCAAGACTGCTTTCCAGCATTGCCTTATCTTTCTCTAGTGCATCGACCTGGCTTAAAAGAACCGAATTCTTCTTTTGCTCACTTATAGTGGCCAATTTGGCAGCACTCAGCTCAGAGTTCAACAAGTCCATTGCTTTCTGAAGCTTTGAAACTTCCTCTGCATTTTGTTTCTTCACTTGTTACCTTAATTTCATCAATTCAGAATATTTACAAGTTTGAATCAGATTTAATAATCATGAAAAAAAATTCTAAGATTTGAAGTTCTAAGATAACCTCTATGCTTTGAGAATTTTACATTTTGGACAAGCACCTTGATGTCTTGTCAGTTCCTTAAATGTTCTAACATCTCCACATCTTATACTCCATTATTCAATCACTTTGGTGAAACTAAAAAAGAAAAAGGGTTTATCAAAATTAAATTTCCCCCAGAATCATTCTCATACAATTTTAGCCACTTCAGCAAATTTCCAACGCAATAAATATTATATCTGGTTAATGCAAATATGCAAAGAAATCACATGCTATGCAATGGGTTCAAAAAGCAGAATCTGCAAGTTTCCAACTTTTAACTGACGAATTTAACAGGGAAACTTCATCCAATTGTCACCACAAGCAATAATACCTAGCAAAGAAAGAAATTACAGTTAAAGAGACTCACCCAATGATTCCACCAATGCAATCATAGAACTGTTCAACCTCCCCCAAGGTCTTCAAAAGGCTCCTCATTTCCTCATCCCCTTCGCACTCTCGCCGAGCTCGCTCCCCATCTAAGCTCCAGCCCTCCACCATATCCCCCAAAACCCGCATCGCCCTCTTCAGCACGCCGCCCTCAGTTAGCCCCCTGTGCTCCGCCACCGCACCACGCACGTGCTCCTGGCCGGCAGCAATCAAACACTTGATCAAAACAACCTCCGACCTCTCCAGCTTCCCCAAAACCCTAGAAACCCATCCCTTCCTCGATCCCAAGAAATCCCTAACCCTAGCTTCAGAATCAAGGATCAAAACCTTCTCTTCCAGAGTTTCAGCGCCTCTTAGCCTCGATCGGATCAAAACCTTCACTTCTAAGATTTGATTTGATCTTCTGACAGCCGTCGGAGGAGGAGGCGGCGGCGGCGGGGACGTCGGGGGTGGGGGTCCTATTTTTAGGGTTGGGGTGAGATTTTTTAGCTGGGAATTTGGAAGAGGGGATGAATTTTAAGGGGTTTTTTTCATATATAAGAAAGGGGCTGATTTTTGGAACCGCTGGATTTCGAAAACTAAAACCGCGAAAACGAAAAAAAAAATTTAATTTTTTCCGTCCAGGAAACTATCCTAGACGGAAATTTCCGTCTAGGATAGACGGGACCATAAAAAATTAAAAAATAATTAATAAAATCCGTCTAGAATAGTATTCTAGACGGAAATTCCATCTAGAATACTGTATTCTAGACGGAATATTCTAGACGGAATTTTTCCGTCTAGAATAATATATTCTAGACGGAAAAAATTCCGTCTAGAATATTCCGTCTAAAATACATGATTTTCTACTAGTGATGTAGTGCATACTTTCCCTCTCCCGTTCCGTTATAAAAACAACATCCTCGACAAAACATCTCCCAAAAATACCCCCAACAAAAACAAAACAATCCCTGGCCTCGTAAAACTTTTCTCTCCCCTCGCAAAAACCCTCGCTTTTCCCCCAAAACCTCTCCGCCTCCTCTCACTCCTACGCTCTTTCTCTCTCTCTCCCTCTTGCCGTCCCTTTGATGCCCTTTCTCTCTCCTCGCTCCCTCACGGCTAGGGATAGGGTTTTCTGCTGGTCTCTTTCGCCAAATCCCCAATTTTTCGTTATCGATAGAGATGGTCGCCGGATCGAACCAAGTAATCTCGGTTAGGGTTCGAAAGATCATTCAATCGATTAAGGAGATCGTTGGGAATCATTCGGACGCTGATATTTATGCTGTTCTTAAGGAATCTAACATGGATCCTAACGAGACGGCACAGAAATTGCTTAATCAGGGTTAGATTCTGATGCCCTAATCTTTTTTAGGGTTTAGTTGCGTTGGATTCAGCCTTCTGTTACTATTTTAGTATATTTAGTTATTATCTTTTTAGTTGTTATGGGATTATTGTTAGGAATTCTTTGTTGGGTCGTTGTATAATTCAGAAAAAATATCCTTAGTATTCTTTTACTGCTGTATTTATTGGGTCTGACACGTTATTCAATAAATATAGGTGTTAATTTAACGGCATGGAATATCAGTCATATGAAGATTGATTAGACGTGATTAAAGATCTGACATTCATGGCATTGCTGTAGTTTGCTTAAGATTCTGTTCTTCTTTTGGTGTTCATTCTATTAAAATGAAAAATCATATCACTGGACTCTATCTCTAACGTCTCTTTTTGTCAAAATTGGATGTACTAAGAGCATGTCTCAAGTTGAGATTACCTTGTTATTGTATAGATCAAGTTCAAGCTTGGGATTAACACTTCACTAGTTGGTGCCAAATTCTGAACATAAAATCTTATCATAATCACCCGCATGCTAGCAGGTGGGTGGTTCTCGTCCTTACAACGGCGAAGACAGATTACCATTCTGCCACCCTGTTTTGTCCTGTGTATGGACGAGAACCGGCCGCTTGCATGCGGATGGTTCCGAGTGGAAAATGACTCAAATTCTTTGCCAAGTATGAGCAAGCACCTTGTCAAAGGACCTCCGGGGTTGGTTGGCGGACAGGGAGGCCTATGTTTTTTTCATATAAGCCCATAAAGTCATTAAACTTTTACAACAATTACCCTGTATAGAAGCTATATAAAGCCATTTCTTTCATCCTATCCCTCTTCTTCCTAGCTCATCCTCTCTTGCTTTCATGGCTTAGGCAGGAGCTACGTCAAGTGCAGCAGAAAGCTGCATGGGGACTGCAATATCTAGGTAGAAAAATCTCATTTCACATTGTTTCGTAATCCTATGTTCTCTCCCACAGACATTGACACACGTCATATTCACTTCTCTCTTGATTATCGTCAATGTTTTATACATGGAGACGATGGATCACAGCTTAAGGGTTATTTTTATCGGTTGAAACCTTGTTTTTATGCAGTGAATTTTTGGACCCAACTTAAACTAACTATAAGAAACCTGATTGCACTCTAATATGATAAGGGTAGAGACTTATACTTCTTATATTCTAACAATTGCATCATCATCATAAAGTTGTTGATAACATTAACATGAATTATATACAATTTATCTAATTTTAATATAGTCTAGACAAGTCCGAGGAGGCTTAAAAATTGGCTCCATTAGATCTTATTTCGTTCATATCTGCATTGCCTCTATTACTTGCCTCTGCTTATTGCATTTAAAACCACAATTTTATACATTATTCGTGTCAACTTTTGAGATATCATTTCCTCCTCAGTTGTCTAACAGCCTCTCAGTTAGTATATTATTATTTAGTTATTGTTGTTGGATTTAGAGCTAACTATTTTGGAATGTTAAGTTTTTATGCTTCATTAGGTATTTGTGGCTGTTGCATAGCTTCATGTCAAATGTTACATTAATATGTGTAAGTTTCACATTAAATAAACCTTTAATATGTAATGCATCTTAGTGTCTGCTTTTGATAGATCAGTTTTCTATGATACCCCGTCTATTGAAACTTATTTGCTATATATGTTTCATATGCCTCAAGAACATTGACAACACTTATATTTGCCACTTGAAATTGGTTCACAGAAATGTAGTTTTTCAAACAGCTCTTCTATGTATCTGCTGCAGAATACATATATTTAGAGAGTGCTGAAATGGTGATAATTCCTTCTCAGTGCAAAGTACTTTTAATAGCAATAATTCTGTGCCTTGGATAGTTTTCCATCCAATCCATCCTCATTTGAATTGTTTTCAATGCACCGTTTGTTCTCTAAAACAGTCATTTGATTTAGGCATTCTTTTTGCATTTTGTAGATCCATTTCACGAGGTTAGAAGGAAAAGGGACAAGAAAAAGGAGGTATGTTCCATCTCATTATTGCTTAGTTTCTAATAATTTTATGCAAAAAGTAAAGAGGTTTTTTTTAATTCTGTTATTTCTATCTTGTTCTTTCTATTTATTTTTTTCAACATAATATTTATCTAACTCATTTTTCCCATATAATTTTTCTTGTCATTTATTAGATAATTATTTACCGTGTCTAAACTAAGTTCTACTTTCTTGATTATTTTCTTGCATGCCCATCTTGGAAATCATATTTCAAACCCATTTCACTTTGGCAATAATGTCTGTAATTTGTTTACAATCTGCATCTATTTCCATAGTAGCCATATTAGGGTTGTTAACACATGGTCTTCAGTAATTTGCTAACTTGATCCAATAAAGCCCCTGTATAAGGATGTAGATAACATGTTGTGCTTGCTTGACTAACAAGGTTTATATTTATACCTTATTTAATAGTATTGGAACAACGCAAGGCTGCTAATAATGCCGTTAAATTGTTTTAAGATAAACTGAGATAGAAATAACTTTCTGATCCGATTTCTGTTTTGATATCAAAACCTATATAATTGTCTAAATAATCGGATCGGTTTATTGGATGTTCAGACACCTTTCACACGTGTGTGGTAGGTAGCTGATAACTTTTGCTTTATAAAAAACATCTCTTTCTGGAATACCTTACATCATACGAGATGGGTTGTAGTGTTGCACTTAGGAGTGAAATCTTTAGCTGATAGTTTCTGTATCATGGAAAATTTCAATAATTAAATAATTTAGGATGGCAACTATCATATATTTTTCCTCCAAGGAACATGAGTTGTCAAAGTACTAGGAAAGCAAACAGTTAAAGAGGCAATCTCGGGTTGGGACTGAGAATTATGGTTTGGATTGGATGTATTGTTTAGTTAATTGGGTTTGGGTTTCAGTTTTTGGTTTTAACAGTTTGGGCTGGAATTAACTAGGCCCATTTGATTTTTTTCTTGAAAATGTTGGGCGGCTCGCTTAGCTCTGCGCGGGCACTTAGGCTCTCCCAGCGCCTAAACAGTGCCGCTCAAGGTGTTTTGAGATGCCTTTGAGCATTGCCTCCGCCTAGGCAGGCCTATAGGCGGCCACCCAGGGTTTTTTTTAAACACTATTGAAATGTCTTACATTTACACACTATTGAACATCGTTTGGAGTGAAAGAGTAGCATAATGATTTGGATAACTTAAGTATGTTTACATTGAAGCTCATTAAGTTATTCATTTTCCTATGATTAAAATTCATTCCAAATGATTAACTTGCCTATTTTATCCTGGACTGGAACATAATTTTTCTTGCTATCTATTTTGTCCCAGAGATTAAAGGTGGGTTTTGGATACACAGAGGGGAATGATTGAAGTAAACCCAAGGGGATGAGTGTAAAGGAAGAGGATGTAATGAAATTAATTGTGTTTGGATAGATAAGAAGGAGAAGAGAGAGTATGTTATAATTTGTGTTTGTAGATAGAGAACGGAAAGGGAAGGAATACTACATGATCAATATATCCTTTGAAGAATTAATAAACACCCATTTTTTATTTTCTCTAAGGGCAATATTGGAATATCGGGAAACTTATTACTTAAGTTTCAATCCCTTTCAATCTATCCACTTTAGGAGGGTTAAAAAAGTGAGGAAATTTACTTCCTTCTAACCCTCCCCGCCCTTCTCTTACTAATTAAAAATTGTAAACAAACACAATATTTGAAGGGTTTGCACCTAAGTTGCATGGAAACGGGCAAGGGTACTGGTACGGGTGTGGGTACGGGACACGACAAAACTGTAAAATGTAGGGTACGAGGATACGACTACATATATATGTTGAACTGTACATAAGATAATTTTTCCCCTTCATGTGTCATTAGAATTAAAATTTCGATCATATTTTTGAGTTTTTTTTATCATATTGATTATCGTGAATTGTAAACTACTCATTTTTTTACTAGACATCTAAACGACCCATTAACTATATAGTTGTAAACTTGGGTATGGACTGAAACGAATCCGACCCGTATCTCATTAGTTTCAAAAGACGGATGTGAAGTGTAAGCTCTACGTCCAGGAAGTCCTTGACAAGTGTTTTAAATTAACACATATATCGTATAATTGAATACATGTTGTAATAAATGCATGCATATATTCAAGAAGTGTCCATGAAGTTTGGGTACGAGAAAGTGTCGGGTACGTGTCCAATACGGGTACGTCTTCATTATAGAAGTGCCCGGGTAACATAGGTTTGCATTATAACCTTCTACCACTTCCCCTCTCGTAAAAAATCCTATCCAAAAGTCGCTATAATTTCTGGTCATGCAGGTATAAAAGATGTAAACCTGCTCAAACAGAGGAGATTCACAGCCTACTGGAGGCATATTTTTAGATTAGTGTAAGGGTTTTTTAATTTAAAGTTTTAGTAAATCATTTCCATCCAAGCTTGTGTGTTAAATTATGGTTAGCTATGCAAAATAATTGGTGATGATTATGATTGGTTTGTTTTAATACTAAGTGTTTGTGCAAAGTTTTCCCAAAGGATACTATGCAATGTATGCATGCATATCTTTATAATGAATTGGTGCGGTGATGATCCGAAAGTTGATGCTTTAGGAGTTTGCCTATGCAGTTTGGACTTCATCACTCTCTTTCCAATGCATGTATGGTGCTATGAACCTTCTTGGTGACTGTGTAGCATTGTTGTGTTATTCTAAGAAAGAATGTGGCCTCTTTATATATCAAAAACATTGAGTTTACCCAATTGTTTGTGTCTTGATCATCGCTTTATCTTTTATGATTGCTTTTTTTTGCTTTGCTCTAGTGCCTTCATCCTTCAAATTGATGGATCTCACTTCAGTTTGCTTTCCTAATGCAAGAATTGAGTACCAATTCTAGATTCCTTAGCCCTTTAAATGCCTCTGTGATGGGGAACGGACGATGGAGATATGTTCAGGACACCTATTTGGATAAATAAAAAAATAACATGAATATTGAATTGCACTTCTTATTTAAGAAAATAAAAGGTACAAATGTTGAGCTTTACGTATGGGCAATTCACATGCCTGCAATCACGGACCTAATACTAGCTGCAATTCACATGCATGGTTCTCACAAACATTATTCTCTTCCCCTCATTGAATGAAAAAGTACATCATTATTTATAGAAAAAAACTAAAGAGATGAGAAGAATCCTAACCTATGATGCACGGATACGGATACGGGACACGGGTACGACACGGACACGGATACGGGATACGGTAAAATTCAAAAAATAGGATACGGGGATACGACAATGATTTTTTTTAAATATTGTTATATATAGAAAAATTTATAAAATTCAACTAACAATCTAAAATATGAATCTATCACAAAATAACAAGTTTGTAAACAAAAAGTACCTCAAGATGAAGTGGAAGCTGAGAGATTGAGAGAGAGGATTAGGGTTAGGGTTAGGGTTTTTTCTTATTTTCTTTCGTTTGAGTCAGATGAGAATCGAATCGAACGGGAGATTTGAGAAATAGTGATGGGTTTTTTAATCGAACGGTTCGGATTGGATTTTAACAACCAAACCCGCAATCCGAATGAATCGGTCTTCGGCGAACCCGAGCTGTGTCCGAGCTCCTTTGACTGTGTTCGAGCCTAATTTGATCATTGACCGTGTCCGACACGGATTGACCGTGTCCGACACGGATTGACCGTGTCCGACACGTGTCGTGCACGTGTCGTGACGAATCTGTGTCCGCTTCGAGTCGGACACGGATTCGTGGCCTTCGAGGGCGAATCCGTACTTCAGAGTTCCTAACTAAAGAACATATTACATCAAATAGAATTCTAACTAAAACAAGGTAAAATCAGATAAGATCCTAACCAAGAAAAAGATAAAATCAAATAAAAGCATAACTAACTTTTATCTAATCCTAATTGAACCAAATCTGATCTAATCTTCATCAAATCTTTTTACGTATTCAGATCTGAATCTGTCCAACATTAAATCTCCTTTGATTGAAAAAACTCGACCTTGAGTTTAAAATTGGAAACCTGTGGACTCTGAATCATTGCATTGCTGATGTCGAAGGTGCAACGATGGATCTATTGAGCTCTGATACCAAATGAAGGGGAATGAATGATGAGGATATGTGCAAGAGGCTTATTTGGATAAATAAAAATAAAACTAATAGCAATAATTAATTCCACTTCTTATTTAAGAAAATAATGGATACAAATGCTAGGTTTCATATCCGGGCACTTCACATTTCAGCAACTCACATGCCTAATACTAGATGCAACTCACATGCCTAATACTAGATGTAATTCACATTCATGTTTCTCAAAACATTCTTCTCTTCCCCTCCATGAATGAAAAAGTACATTATTTATAGCAAAAACTAAGAAAACAAGAAGAATTCTGACTAAAGAACATACGACATAAAATAACATCCTAACTAAAACAAGATAACATCAGATAATATCATAACTAAAGAAAAAGATAAAATCAGATGAAACCATAACTAACTTATCTAATCCTAATTGAACTAAATCAGATCCAATATTCATCAAATCTTTTTACATATTCAAATTTGAATATGTCCTTCGAGGCTATCGATAGCGGATAGCGTAACGTAGCAATGATGCACCGTTAAGGCTATTTGGGACTATTGTGGTAAAATAGCGGTAAAAGCATGAAGCTAAATAGCGGTATGTATAAATATTCAAAAAAAATCTAGAAAATCTAAAAGTGCATATTTAATGATCTAAACAGATTCTAAGCATGACATAGATATGTAACTATCACATAATACCGAAGACAACTGGGGGAGGGGTCGAAGGGTTGTCTTCGAGAAGATGAGCTGAGCAGTGAGAGGATTGCATAGGAGGAGCTCACAGTGAGAGGTGCTTTGGCAGTGAGAGGAGGTGCTGAGACTCGAGGGAGGGGCCAGAGGCTGTGGGAGACGGCAAGAAAGGCTGTGGGATGCGCTGGGAGGCAGCGACCGTTTTGGTGGAGTTAGGTGTTTTTTAGAGTTGGATCACGAGGGGGAGACTCAGGAGAGAAAAACAATGATCGGTAATGACGTAAAACATCGGGTCTTCCGGGTGCGGGTGGGTAATTTAAGAAAATAAACCTAAAAATGCTTTTAAATAGCAGTCAATAAGTGGATTTTACCCGCAATCGCCCGTTATTCGCCGCTATGGCACGCTATTAGTGGTTTTGCGAATGAAAAGCACATACTGCCTAACATGTCATCGCTATTGAGTGATAGAGTTGCGGAAGGGGCAATAACGATAGAGTTGCGGAAGGGGCCGATAGCTATTTACCGCCATTTATAACAGCGTTGTCCTGCATCACTCAGTCCCTATATTTTATCTCATTGCTCAACTGCAGTGTAATGTGTACAAAGACATGACTGGATTTTTGATCTTTTTTATCGGAGTTTTACATTAGACTTCACCTTCCTTGGCCCTCTTTTTAAGTTGTTAGACAGCTGGACACCTGTAACATATATTTGCTCTCACCCCGTTATTAAATCTTTTTATGATGGATGTTATATCGTTTCTTTTGGACGCATACAGATTACTTTGTGCAAATTTGTTTTGCTGTGAAATGCTCAGAAATTGTTATCCTTTTAATGCAAAATTGAAAACTGGCAATCTCTTTGAAAATAATACAGTTCTCTCTTACAACTTTCCATTCATACCCAAAGTTAACAAATCAATTTGTTGTATTGATCTTGATGAAGATTTAAAATTTCAAAAGTACTACACCCTAACTATAATATTCTTTTTAAGGAGCGATTTGGACATGTATTTTAAAATGCTCAAACTACCGCCCAATAATTGGTTGTCAAAGTAATGTGGACTAGCTTGAAGATTATGTTCCCATATGATTTTGATAGACATTTCTTGAGTTTCCTTTTGTATGTATCTCTAGTTTTTTCTGTATGCATCCGCTTTTATTTTATTTGGTGGTTAAATACATCCTTCATAGATTAGCATCCACATGGATTAGATTGCAACTTACCATCTAGTAAAGGGGAATGTGGGAAACAGCTGTTTTTAAGTAAATATCTGACTTACAACATGCATTACAACCTCAGCTTACAGGACACAGGGGTTTGGAGGATAATAGGAGACATGTAGACCATAACGTACAACCCGGAAGACATGTGGAACACCATGTGCCGCCTGAGAGACATGTGGAACACCATGTACCTCCCGGGAGACATGTGGAACACCATGTACAACCCTGGAGACATGTGGAACGCCATGTACAACCAGGGGGACAGGTGGAGCACCATGTACAACCAGGGAGACAGGTGGAGCACCATCTACAACGAGGAAGACATATGGAACACCATGTGGTGCAACCAGGTAGACATGTGGAACGCAATGCACCACCAGAGAAGTCTCACACAGGGTGGGATCGAAATGCCCGAAGAGGTGGTTATATTCGAAATTCACTGCCTGGTAATTAAATTTCTTTCTTTTGTATAGTTTCTATGCATCCATTATTTAATTGGTTTTATTGTCTGCGTTTTGATATTTGTTGTTGAAGGTTGTATGATATCACTACACTTCACTCAAACTTTTTTGTTTAAGTAGCTGTGTGAATAACATGAAAAAATGTCAATTGGAGAGCTGAACTAACTTATTGTTTGAATTGTTAATGTTCCATCCTTGGTTTTTATCAAATTTTACTATGGAACAACATAGATTTTGGTGGGAAGAACACTTTTGTTTGGTGCAGATTGTTCTAACGTAAATTCTAGCTGCCATGTGTAAATTCATCTTTTTCCTTTTATAATTTATACCTGCTTGCTTAGCTTAACATCTCACTGAAGGATGCTTGCTGGAAGCATTTACAGCTTTCACTTTCTTCATATGTGCTGCTTGTCCACCATGCAAAGTGACAAGTAGTTTATCTTCCTGTTTGGCACTGGTTTAGGACACTTATTTGGTTTTTTTGGGCTTATATGATGCTGTGAAGATGAATTCTTTTCTCTAAAACATATCCTCATCTTACCTTTTCAAACTTCATAGTCATAGTTGCTCCCTTAATGTGTAGTTTTGCTCCATAGCCAACCTTTTTGTGATGGAGAGGCTTCAGCTTGAATGCTGACAACAATAGCAACCTATATTTGGCTTTATATCTTTACAAGTTGATTAAATCAGAAGTCAAGAAACTCATTAGTCTCTTGCTACAATAAGATTTTAAACTTAATGCTAATAGCTTTTAATATACAAACGTGAATTTATTTGATTATCTGTTCTGTCCACAATTCACATTTAGTTGGGAATGGTGCCCAATGGTTCATATTATGACATGAAATGAAGCTTCCTGCCGAAGTATAGAGCAAAACTTTGTGCTCATATATTCTTTGCTTTAGCTGTTTAATTGTGCCATGTTTGTAAAGTGTTGTTTCACGGTTTCATATGGGCCCATGGCTACAGTTCGATGTTGTTGTTAATGGAAAACTGTTTAATCATGCATTAATGCGTCTCTTGCACTATTTCAGTGTTGTGGAACTTGAATTATTATGAGAACATCTATTGTGCTTAGATCCATGCCCATTGATATAGATTTACTTTTCATGATAGCATCTTATTCTACATTTTGGCTAGATGCAGGAATTCATCGAGAATTTCGAATTGTGAGGGACAACAGAGTGAAACAAAACGTCAGTAGAGATGTTAAGCCTGAATCAGTTCAGCATCTAGCTTCTGGGGAGGGAGAAGTTAAAATTGATACTCCCGAAAAGAGGTATGAATATATTTTCTTTGTAGTATCTCCAAAAAATAATATATGATGTTGGAGTTCCCTACAATGTATTAGTGCTTAAAGCGATGTCTTCTGTGTCTTTGCTCTAACTTGATTTTGACAACATCTGATTCTGACACTTCTTTCCTTTCCATTCTATTGCCTACTTGCTTTCTGTCTCCAGTTGACATTTTCCTTGACAAATTTGGTTATGGATTGACTCTCCTATTGTTACTTATTTGCAGTTTTGCTATCTTACACATGTCAGGTTATTGGTGTTTGCATACTTGTTGGTTTATTGCGAATATATATATGTTGGTTCCATGTTTTAATATTTATTGTCAAACTGATTGTGAGCATGTCTGATGTTGCTTAGAAGAAAATGTTACTGTTGAAGCAGAAGAATTTAATACTCTTTCTGATTTCAGACTCAAGTATGTTAAAATAATTGTTTCATAACAAAGAAGTAATTGACATTTTTATTTCGGGTTTTACTAGATACCTTTGAAATCTTAGATATTCTTACACTCGAAACTTTCATAATTGCTGATTTACCCTCTACCCCCCCCCCCCCACACGCGCGCGCGCACACACACACACACACCAAAAAAAAACACCTGGGGAAAAAAAATTGTTGGGGAATAAATTCCTTTATGTTCTGTTACATTGATTTAATTGTTTTAAAAATGACTAAACTATACTTATTAATTTAATAAATTTCATTTAGTTCTGCTCAGGGAATGTGACACTAGTTGAAAAGTCTTGGTTTTGGCCATTTTATGTTGACGTAAATGGGATGAGGCCCTAACTTAGAAGTAGATTGTGAAGAAAGGAAAGAGGAGAAGAAAAGGCAAATTGCTTACTTGCGAGCATCCTGCATTACTGGTAGAATATAATTATCTTTTGAAATCTATAGTATTATATTTTAAATGTCACTGCAAATAAATGTGTAATATCCTTAACTTAGAGATGGTTCTTATGAACATTGTTCCAGATTGATTCGTGGTCTTATTCTCTTTCCAAGAGAATTTGCTAAAGTTTATTAAATTTAGTCCAGAAGAGTCATATCCTCAAGTGCCAAGCCATTTAAATCTTACTTCTATAAGTACTTGTCTCGACATGATACCTATTGTTTGTTTCTCCTATTACATCGATTTGTTGCAACTAATGATTTGTGCTCATACATGTTGTGTTCTGTTGTTTTATTTCAATATATGCTTAGGAGTTGAGACTTGTGATATCCTACTGCTTATTTGTATATTTTTGTCATGAAAGTAGATTAAATATATTGTTTATGCATGCTTTTAAGCTGATAACATATGCTACTAGATTTTTCTGTAAGTGTTATTTCTTTATTCCAGCAGTTAAATTCATCTGTTGGCCATCACTTTTTGAAATAAAATCAAAGATATATCTTTGACCTCTTTGTGTATTTGCTGAACTATTTTCTTTACCCATAGCGTGGATGGAAGTCTTGATAAAAAACACTTGACTTTCAACAGGTCAGAGGGTTCACGGCTACCGCCACGTGCAAATAGACCGCGCGATTCTCTGTCTGATGGTTCTGGTCATAAGGAAGATGTGGTCCAGGGTGGCAGTCTTAGACCGCCGCCAGTTGAAAAGACCTTGCCGGCGGCTACAGTGACAAACTTGCAGGCAAGAGAAGTTAGGGATAACTCTAAAGTGCATTCTACTTCGACATCTTCCAGCTCTGTCATCGGGGTTTACTCCTCATCCTCAGACCCAGTTCATGTTCCCTCTCCTGCTTCTCGATCAGCTGGAACTGTTGGGGCTATTAGGCGTGAAGTTGGGGTAGTTGGTCTCCGGAAGCAATCTTCAAATCATGCTGCTAATTTGGCTGTTTCAAATTCCTTCTCAGTTCCTTTATTGGCCAAGGATGTTTCATCCTTGCCAGAATCACCCAGACAATCTGTTGTCACATCTAAAAGTAGTCAACTTAACCAAGCAGCTTCAGATCGTGCAATGCCTAACCCTGCTAATAGATCACCTTTAGGCAATCAACATAGTAGCAAAATGCACCAGCAACCCACAGGTCATCAGAAAGGTAATGTATCTGCTGTTTATTTTTTTGCATGCATCTGTTCCTGTATTTTGGAAATGAAGTTGGACAAGCTTTGCTTGCTAGATCTATAAAGACTATCCAATTTCATCTCAAATCGTCACCTTAATGGAGAGGGTTGATAACTTATTGGCTTAAAAATTTCTTTTATCTTCTGAGAAGTGTATTTTTCTGTGTTTGTGACTGTGTGATGGAGCACAGCCTAGGAACATAGCCTAGTAACTTTGGGTGGGCAGTGCATTTCTTCGTGTTCATGAACATATGACGTAGCATAGCCTGGTATTGTGGGTATTAAATGCTATTTCACAGAATTCCCTTGTCTGCTTATGTAATTCTTCAATTCTGCTGAGACAAGTAAACGTGCTTGTAGTGAGGTTGCGTGTTCTTGATATTGACAGTGGAAGCAATACTAGGAAATTTTCAGTCAAACATGAGACGTATGCTTTTAGCAAGGTCAATATGCACATAGTATCAGGCTTCCAGGCCATTGCCTTCACTAATAGTATTTTTGCCAGTACAATTTAAGGGTTGATGTCGGTTTTATGGGTTGATGTCAGATTTGCATCTGGTTATAGAATTTGTAAAGACTATCTTGTTGGAGACTTGTGCCCCATGTATGCTCCATTTAATGGAAAATGCCTAAGTTGTGGTAGATGCTTCTGAAATGTAATAAGGATCTTATAGTGTTAGCTTTATAGTTTGTGAAGATTTAGTTTCTCTGATCATTTTCTTTTTTGTTTTCTGTAAAATCAATTGGAAATTTTCTTTCTTAAGTTTAGTTTCTTTAGCATTACATTATATTAGATATTAGATATTTAACATTTTTACTTCTGCATAAGTGGCTTTAATTTTTTTTAGTAATAGACATGATGGCATATTCATCTAGTATAGATGTATGTTTTAATTTTGTTCAGCAAAATCTGAATATGATGTTATGCAGCAATGCAGTCGACAATGGAGTGGAAGCCAAAATCAAGTCAGAAGGCTGCAATTATCAGTACTAATACGAGCGGAACCACTTCAGCACCCACACTTCATACTGACAATTCCAGCAACTCGAAACCAGTTGATGTAGCTAATTTTCCAGAGAGGTAATCATACCTGAGCATCTTCGAGTCCCAGATTCTGAGCGTACACAGTTGACATTTGGAAGTTTCGGAGCTGGCTTTGACTCTACGAAGATTTCTTCATCTGTTTCTCATGCATTTGAAAGTGTGGAGCAGCTGATTGACGGGCATTCTACTAGGTTGTTTCCTATTCTTCCTAAACCCCAAGTCTGTGTGCGTAACACAATGGGTAATTCCAATGAGTGGTACATTTTGTTTGCATTCTACATCTTATATTATGTCTCTAGGGTTTGCATACTTCTTATTGATGCACTATTTTCATGTAGATCTATAATGGCAGTCATAGACATCTTATGCATGAGTTTGAGCCTTTGAATGCGCTTAATCTCAATTTACAGGCATTTTTATGGTGGTCCTCATGATGACATGAACAGTGTGGTTTTTGTCATAGGGACTTGTGCTTCAATCTCCGTGCAAAAAGCTTGTGTAGTTGCATGCAATAATTAGTTTGTGTTGTCTTAAAATAACTTGCATCGCTTATTTATAGTGCATGTTTCATCTGGGATAGAATCTTCTCTGCTGTTCTCAAACCATCTATTTTGAAGTCATTTCTACCTGCCATTTCTACTTTACGTCTTTTGTTTCACATGAAGGATCTACTAAATGCCTTATATTTGACACAAAGTATCTTCTAAATACTAACTCTTGATTTGGTTGCTGGCAGTAGATCTGCTTCAGTTCCAGTGGGATCAATTGGTAATGCTTCTGGTGAAGATCAAGTGAGTGACTACCAAGCTACTTCTCGGTCCGACTCTCCAGCATCAGCTGCAGAGTCAGAGCAGGCACCACCTGGGAATGAGTCATTAGATCATCAAAATATTGATAATTATGCAGATATTGGACTGGTTCAAGGTCATAGCCCATCCTATACTTCCTCACATTCACATCACCTACAGACTTCTACAAGCCTCCCAAGCTTTTCTGTAAGTTTAGCCTTATTCACTGAAAGATTAGAATCTGTGATCTCTTTTACAAATTTAATTTGCTTGTTGATTAGAGCTTACATTCCCATTTTATTTAAGAGCATCGTTTTACTTTTTGAAAACAGGAATATGACCCCCAGAAAAGCTATGATCGTCTTCCATTTTTGAGAACTGTGATGGAAGATCATTCTGACGGCCAAGGAATAGCTTCATCGACAGAGGTTTTTTCTGTTTGCTTTGAAGATTTTGCATGCAATTGCTTAGGTGCTTCTTGCACATTTTTAATTAAACATTACAGTAACACTGGTACACCCTTGATTGAGACAGTGGAACGGTGGAACATGGGCTGACTGTCCTTTGGATGGCTGAGATACTTCAAACAGACAGACACAGACACAAAGACCAAGTAAAATAAAAATAAAAAACCACATTATCATCCATAGGGTAACTGCAAGACGTTTACGGATAGTTGGTGGGAAAACTAGACCGCAGATATGCACAAGTAGGATGCTTAGTGCAATAAACTTTTTGGGTAATAGGAATGCTTTATTTCAAAACTTGTCAAGCCCCTTGGCCTATATTTACCGTTTGCAGGAGGAAGATAGACAAAATGTGCATCCTGAGGAATCGCAAGAGCAATATATATTAACCTAGTCTTGAAGTTGTACATTATATTCTGTGTGCTATACAGCAAATCGATCCCCAGTTTCCATCTGATAGCTGTAACGTTAGCATGCACAAGTTTTCTTCATCCGTGAGTAAACTTACTGTATCTAGTTTCCTGTTCCATCTCTTTACCACTGTATTTTCTTTAATATACTGAATCCTTCGGTGTTTTCTGCATGCTACTGTACAGTAATATGGGGTGCGCTTGATAGTAGTTTTATGCATTATTTGTACTAGATCTGAGTGGAGATGTGATGTTTGAATATAGAATTGGATGTCCATATTGTAAGAATGAAGTCATATTTGTGATTTTCTGATCAAATGCGGGAATTAGCAAGATTGTCACATATTGAGTTCAATTACATAAATGTGAAAAATATACATAAATGCTGCATTGCCTTGAATTTTTTTGGCCTATAGTTTACATCGTGCGAAGTAGAGGTGACGCGTGCGCACACGCACACAGACACACAGATAGAACTGGGTGCATCAGATTCTTCATATTGTTCACCAATACTATATTTGAATCCGTATAAATGAATGGATATAAGATAGCGCCATTGATCAGGAAACGGAAATGGTATCTGACATAACCCACTATTCATATCGGACATATCTACTAAATTCTTGTTTCCAAACTGTACTTTTGCCTCCACTCATTGTCATAATATGTAATTAAAACCATGATTTTGTTTCAGGCTATAAGCTCACATGCAACCAACAGCAGTCCTCCATCCACTGTTACTTTCTCCCAGCAGCAGCAATCTCAACAACACCAGCAACAACAGCAGGCTCTGGCTAATATGTACTCTCAAGTTCACATTTCCCACTTTCCGAACTTTATGCCTTACCGGCATATGTTTTCTCCTGTCTATGTCCCACCAATGGCCATGCCAAACTATTCTAGCAACCCGGCTTACCCCCATCCTTCAAATGCCAGCAGCTACCTTCTGATGCCTGGAGGAAACTCCCATTTAACTGGTGGTGGTATGAAATATGCGGCCTCACAGTTTAAACCAGTTCCAGCAGGTAGTCCCACTACCTATGGAAGCTATGCCAATCCAACTGGGTTTGCTATCACTCCTCCTGGTAATGTTGGAGGTGCAACTGGCCTTGAAGATGCAACAAGGATCAAATACAAAGACAACAATCTCTATGTACCAAATCCTCAGGTACCATTCTAGTTACGGCTTTAGTGTTAGGTTTAGTTTTCTGCTAGGTCAGTTTCATTCTGAAGAGTTACTTTACTGCTTGGCCAACTAGGATAAGAAAACAACCCGACTTTAACATGATTAGGTTTGCATTGCATAAAATGTACAAATCAGCATTGACAGTTCTATGAATTAGTAATATTCGGAACACACCGAGTTATATAATGTCTTCCTTTGGTAATTACATAATAAATACAAAAACCTTCCAGTTCTGTATTAAAAAAAAGGATTAGTTACAATCCGGTACCTCGAAGTATGCTGTAATTTACACAGGGTATCCTGTAGTTTGTGTATTTACATAGGTATGGGTAACCCTGAGCTTACTAATTGTAATTACACGGGTAACCCTGAGAGTTGCTTTTCATCTGGGCCCTAGGGTCACCCATGTCATTGCAATTAGTAATCTTAGGGTTACTCGTGTGTAGATTCACAACTCCAGGGTCACCCGTGTCATGTACACCATACCTCAAGGTCAGAAATGTAATTAATCCTAGAAAAAAACTTTGTTTTTTTTCTGTTCTGAAGTATATCTGAACAATATCACTAAAAAATAATTTATAAACAAATATTCCTGCCAGTTACCAGGTATGGGCATTTTGTCTCTGTATAAGAAGTGCATGAATAAATGTTTTCTGTTTTATTTAAATAAGGATCTGAAAGCTGTTCTGGCGCCACCTTGTTGCTGAGATCCCTTCCGGTCATTTTGCTATAAACGTGAAATCCAACTGCAGTTTCTAAAGCAAAGATTTTAATTCACATGATCCAAAAGCAAACATTTTTCTAGAAGTGAGTCCTTGATATGGCCATGACACAATTTAGTTGCAAGTAGAAGTGAGGATTTGCATTATTTTAGATGCATGCGTGGCTTGATCTGTGAGAAACAATATATGCATGAAGTCTATTGATTCGAGATCTGGTTAGGATTAGTTTAGTTTTATTGTCAGGCCTGAGCTGAAAATGTTAAATTCATTTCACTTTCATCTTATTCCTCATGTTTATGATTAATCGAAAAGTGACTAATATGGAGTCACTGGTTCTTCTTTCGTTATTAACATTTCTCCCATTGGAAATAGCATATCCAGATGATTATATTTTTTTTGCTGTTAAGTTTCAGAAAGCTACCATGAACATTTAAAACTACACAAAAATACCATGTGCAATAGGAGATCGATGCTAACTACATATCTTGGATAAAAGTTATAAACTACTCTTATTCATTTTTTTATCTATCTACAAAGTTCATAAGGGTAATATATATGGGTTAAATTATTGAAAATATGTCTGGCGTGAAGCGTTTGGCAACTTACCCTAAATTTTGTATGTTTTTTTTCAGCCATAGCATATACTATTGTTAATTGTGCAATTATCTCAACCTGAATCTTTTTGCTACTCATGCAGGCAGAAACATCTGACATCTGGATCCAACCACCTCGAGAGCTTCCAACCATGCAATCGGCTCCTTACTACAACTTACCCGCCCAACCCCCACATCCTGCTGCCGCACCTGCCTTTGTCCCAAGCAGCCCATGCCGGCCATGCTTCCTTCAACTTGCAGCCAAGCCAGTGCCTGCTGCTGCTGCCCTCAGTCGACGCATGTGCAGTACCCGGGCCTCTACCATCCTCCGGCTTCTCCAGCCCCCATTGCCGGGCCCCACCACTTGGTCCATCAGTCGGGACTCGGAGGCAGTATCAGTGGAGTTGGAGTGGCTGGTGGTGCTGCTGCTCCTGGGCCTCAGGTTGGGGCTTATCAGCAGACCCAGCTTGGGCATCTTAATTGGCCTGCTAATTTTTAGTAAGGGAAATGATGGGAGTAAATGTCTTGTTTGTGATGGAAGTAGCATTAGATATTTTAGTAGATAGGTGTTCTCTAAGCTTTTATGTAATGAAATTTGTATACTTCATTTTTCTTGCTAATGGAAGTTAATGTCTTCTATTGCTGTTATTGCGCTTTTCTTTCATATACATGTTTTCATGTGTTGCTCCAATATGACCCCAAAGAGTTGCAAAATAAAAAAAAAAAACCCAAGGAGTTTGAAAAAAAAAAAAAAAAAAAGGGAAAATACTTTTTATGGTGATGCGTGTAGGAAGAAAGACTTTTGAGTAATAAAGTTTTACGTAGTTACCTAGTGGTTCAGACATCCTACGCATCTGTCCTTTTGTTTTCTTCAGCGAATAAGATGTACCGACGCCGTACAGGAAAATGTAGATTCGGAGTATAACCTGAAGAAGAATTTTTCTAAATAAACTCATTCACATTTTTTTTTTTAAATCGACCCCGTTGAGTGTTTTTTCACAAAAATCGACTAATTTTTTCACCACGTGACGAGAAAGTGAGTTGATTTTTTTTAATCCAGTTCCTAAATAGTCGGGGTTGCCAACCCCGACTATTTAGGAGGTTGTAAACCTCAATTACAACCCTAAACCCGAAGAGTTTATGCCCTAAATAGTCTGGGTTGGCAACCCCAACTATTTAGGAATCAGATTAAAAAAAAAAGGATCGGTTGTTGTAAAAAAAACCCAAGGGGGTCTTTAAAAAAAAGTATGAATGAGTTTATTTAGAAAAATTCTCCATAACCTGAAAGAATTACATATTCAGACACTGTACGGGAAAATTCAGATTGGCTATTGTACTGATATCGATTCAATGACTTTTTTTCCTGGTACAAGGTGTACGGAAAATTCAAATTGGCTGTTGTACTGGTATCAATCCAATGACCAATTTTTTCTTGTACAAGTTAAATATTAACATGTATGTAAACAACTTCACATAACAGTTACAAACTAATATGTATGCAAACAACTCTAATTAACAATTTCAAATTAATATAACGCAGACTAGGTTAAAGATTTATACAATTTGTTCTGTGTTCTGTATGGAAACAACTTTCCCAAAAGAGACCAGTATGAATTCCCACTCCGTTTCCCTTTTTTACTTCATAAGCATATCTCCTCCCCTAACACTTCTTTTTAATTAAGTCCAAATCCTTAGATTTTGCAAGGACCAGTATGAATTCCCACTCCGTTTCCCTTTTTTCACTCGAAGGCTGTAACAAGGCGCAATAGCTTGCACACCAAAGGGTACAAGTGTTCATCACGTGAAACAAGTTACGGAGATGCATTTTAAAAAGAAAGATCTAAGTGAAACAATTGTTTACCAAATGAAACTGACCACGGGAATAACGGGGCACAATGTATCGGACACCATCAAAGAGTACAGGCGCTTACAACATGATTTGAGTAACAAAGATGCATTTTAAACAAAAATCTAAATGAAAAAAAGCCACAACATGACATCACTACAGAAGAACATGAGGTATACTCTGATATATTCTGCACATCTTCATCCAATTCAAAGGTTGCAGAATTAAAAAGTGCTAACCTCGTATGAGTAGCAAAAACTCCTTTTGATTGATTAAGCACAAGAATGACGACAAATTGACCGGTCTGATACCAAAGGCAAGCACTAGTATTTCACAAAATTGAGCATGCAGAACAGTACAGATATTTTTAAAAGAGCAGAGCACATAACCACATATAATATAACATTATCAGAGACACAAGGTAGTTATCAACAATGAAATTAGCACTGTTCTCTTCCTTCCTTTTCTCTAACAGGCGAAAAAGAGTACGGGCTACTGCTTTCCTTATAAGCAATACATAAAGAAAGATAACTAGAACAAAATGGGAGCAGAAACCATCTCTCGGCAGCTTAGTTTATCTGTACCACAAAGCTCGGTGAACATTGGTACATGACATGATAACACCTAAGTCTACCCAATGCCAGTCATATCTGAACAAGGAAAAGAAATAAATGAATTAGAATATAATTTTAGTAGAAAATCAGTATAGCTGGATACGTTTCAAAAGACAAAATTTACAAGACATATAACCAAACAATAACTATCTCATGAAATTCGTCTAAAAATAAGAATATATTTTTTAGTAGAAAATCAGTATTGCTGGATGTGTTTCAAAAAACTAAATTCGCAAGACATACACCACCAAACAATAACTATCTCATGAAATTCGTCTAAAAAATAGGACATAAAAGTCTTACTTATGCAAAAAAGGTGAAGAATATCTAGAACAGGGCAAATAAACATTGTCGAGTAGCGATTTATGTTTCAATTTTCAAAATGAAAAAAAATCTGGATCAACCATATTGCATGATTGCATCCACATTTTGATGATATTATATGACAAGTTAAATTGTCTGTCACTCTCCCCATGAATAAAATTTACTAAAACAACTAAGGGCGAAAATCACCATCATAAAAGAATGTACTATTGTAGCCTATCCTGTGAATGCAACCAGGCAGCCAATTCTTCCTTGGTTATATAAGTACAACTAGTACATGCAGCAGTGTGCCAGATATAGTTAGAATAGTTCCATGACATATAGAGTTATTTGACTTATTTCCAAATACAAAAGCGGAAGATCTGTAAATTTCTTGCTGGCCAAAAAGACGATTTATAGCAAGCACTCCGTTCCTACCATCTCAACTGCTAGTAATATACTTAAGTTGGAGGAGAAGCTTGCATGCTAAAATATGGAAAGAATTGCCAATTATCTGATAATGAAAGAAACTACAGTTTAATAAAAAGAGTGCAGGTGGAAATCTTTAAAGAATAGAAAAGACTAAAAGCAGTAATAAAAAAAGAAAGACAGAAAATATATAGATGATAGGAACAATGAGTGCACTAAAGGTTTCATTTAATTTGTGACTTACAGGTCTATAATGGCATGCGACTGAAATGACCATAACATTGATAAATTAAAAAATAATAGTACGCTGCATATTAACAGGTTTGAGTACAAACTGTCTCATGTATAACTAGTCTATTAATAAAGCGGCATATGTTTAGCAATTTCCATAGTTATGTCAGGCATTTATCAATCTTTTCTGCGGACATCTTCATTCTCCAATTATATGGTACACATCATGAAAGATAACAAATAATTACGTCAAGACATTTATATCTCTCTTCTGCGGATATCTTCATTCCCCAAATATATTGTACACGTCATGAAAGATAACAAATGAACTCACCATAATTAAGGCACCTATCCGACAGTTTCTTACAATTTCCTTCTCCAACCATCTACTAGATAGACCCTAAGCTGCACAGGTATGGGCGGGGTGTATGGGACAGGCAAATTTGTGAAGGGTAGGGCACAGGGCCATGGCTGAAACTCATGGGACATAATCATAGTTATGCCCTGTATATGTAAACAGTCCATTTAAATCGATGCTCTTAAGGTTGAAAAAAACTTGACCCTTATCTAACAAATTACAAACATAGATGTGAAGTGTATGATATATATCAAAGAAATGTATAACGAGAGTTTTAAATTAAACACGCATTGTATAATTTGACTGCAGGTCTGAATAGATATATGCATATATTTAAAGCGTGTTCAAGAAGTTTTGGGTACATGTACGGGTACGACGCATCTCAGATATGGGTACGGCTCTATAATACAAGTATCCAGGTAACATAGAACAGACATAGAATAGACCCTCTCAGTCTCAGAACAAATCAAATAACCTCTTTTCACATTAGCCACGTGCAGAGGATTTAATGCTTGAAAATTCTCAATAAATACTTGTGCTGCACTTTCTATGCGACACTCACAAGATTATTAGAAACAATTAGCATGTTTTTTTAAAAGTAAATGAAACTGGAGCTTAGAGACATGCTTTAGATTTTCCATGAGAGGATCATCATGGAAAGTTTGATGGCATGACTGTTAAAGTTTGATAGGTGATCGATTAAATACCTTAAAAAATCAGGAATATTAAACAATAATTACTAAATCTAGAAAAAGTGGAAAATTGCCTCCATATGAGAGCCCCCTTGTTTCCACCTCAAGATACAATTTGTACACAATATTTTTGATTAACCCTAAAATACCCCTCATCTATCATTCATAGAGATCATTCAACATGCAAAAATTTCATTTTTGACAAACTATGGCTAAAGCATTCCAATCAAACCTGATCCTAACCAAATGAGGGAATTGAAGAGTTGTTTTCAGAGAGAAGCAGTTTTTTTTCCTTCCAAAATATAGACTTATATTCTTTATTCAATCTAATTTTCCCACCTACCTTCGATATATCCTCTTTCGACTTCTTTTTCATTTAATAATTATGGATAACAAAGGTGGTCTTTTCTACATGGTGTCATCTAAAAGAGGAAACACAATGTTGATTCAAATCTCAAAAGGAACCACTTTCTTAGCAATGAAATTTGATGATTTGAACATTTGAACAGTCCATATGAGAGTTTCATCATATCGTCATTTCTCATTTCCAATTACTTGTTACCTATATAATTTACTTGCCACCTTTCAGTCGCTGCAACTACCTTTATTGGCAGTTGACTACCTTTACAGTTTACTGGTTATTACTATAGCCAACTGTCAGATTTGAAATTTCATTCGATTTGTTTTCACTTCACATATTACCTTTTCTGGTTACTTATATCCTTCACTTGCCACCTCTTAGCATTACATTCTACCTATATATGTGTTTATCAAGGTTTTAAATATCGGTTATCGGGGGTTTATCGGACGGTCAAAATCCTTATCGGATAGCGGAAATCGGGGATATATCGGGGATAAGTAGTAATTATCGGAGTGATATAGTGGATGGTGTATATATAATAATAACTAAAAAGTGTAATCTAACCATGCTTAATGAAATATAAACATTGTCCTGTCAACATTTAAGAGATAGTGAACCGTGAACACAAGTTTGAAAATAAAATAGCAAACACAATTGCACAATTGTATATTTATTTTATTTATTTATCACATCATAAAATTTTATGCCTAACATCAGTCAGTTCTATTTTGTTGCAGACTTGAGATCAAAATCACATCAAGATTTCAAGGAATGAAGGAACAGAGGAAGACAACTTAAAATAGCAATTGTAAAC